AGCACAGGCATAAGCCTGATCCCGCTGCAGTTTGGGATTCCCACGTTTGAATATGAGAATGGTCACGCCTGCTTCTAGATCTCCGGGATTTTCGACGTCGCCAGATGCTGTCAAAAACTAGAGACATCCAGTTCAATAGAGATTCGCCGAGGCACTTGAGACATTTCGCACCAATCCTGCCGTGCTCGCAGGATTTGGAACTTCGGTAACGTATGGCATATCAGATTTCATCCTTCGATGGAGCAGAGCAGTCAATTGCCAGTTCTTCCCGTCTTCGAACTCAGGTCATCCACTGAATCAAGGCGGCTTAGGAGCTCTTCGAGGTTTTCATCCCATATCCTCTACGGACTGTATGAATCTGGAAGGGGCTCACTGGACTTTCTGCGAGTACGACAAGTTAGGACCTTACGTTTGCCGCCATTAGTGATGATGTTGAGTTGTTTGTAAAGCGGCTTACAGACCTTCTTCAAAGCCGCCTGCTTTAGATTATGCGATTCCAGTTCCATCTAGTGTCGCTGTCATAGCGGTTACTCTTGTTGACTGCTATCACGAAATGCCAAAATTTCAGCCTTTTCTTCTCCTTTGGGTCCTGTAAGAATTCCTGTTTCGTCAGGTTCCTTCGAAGAACGAGGGTTTTTGCTGAGACCCACGATTGCTCCGCCTTTTGCTCAGGCCGAGTATATTTGCTGTGGCTGAGTCCTGGGAGGTCAGGTCCTTTACAGCAACGAACCTGTCATTGGTCTCGTCTTGGAACGCCAAGAAAGTTTCTGGATCTTTCAACTTGTTGGTGCCGAATCGAGCGTTTGCCCCTTTCCGTGCTGTTCTCTGGGACGTAGCCAATTGATGGCGCATCTGTGTGACTGCCTGAAATGGCCCGAGCCAATGTTAGCCCCGTGTCGAGCCCGGGTATCTTGAAGGGCGCTTCGCCACTTCCTACTGGCAAACATGTGGCCCAGCTTGCTTCTGAAGCGGTCAATGGCCCTCTCCACGTCAGCTAACGAATTTGACGGTGGGCAAAAGAGCATATTATCAACGAACAGGCCCTGCGTAGAATAAAATTCTAATGTCCGATATACATTGCCATTCAGCGTCTCGAAGCCATTTGGCCCATCGCATGATGCCAGTTGGAAATGTCTACGCCAACACAGGCGTTCCCCTGTTCGGGAACGATCGATAACTGATTATGTGAAGGAGAACCGAGAACTGTGTATAAACTGAACACTAAACAGCGTAGAACGATGCCTAAGAATTAGCTGAAAATTAAGACTATGCGTAAATTTAAACCTATGCTTACTTACCGTTATCGCAAGCCTAAATTTGA